ACACACACACACACACACACACACGCACACACTCACACACACACACACACACTCACACACACACACACACACACAAACAAACAAACAAACAAACGAGTTGCCCACTTCTTTCTTCCTCCCGACTCCCGGTACCTCGTTGCCTACTCGCCCCCCAGCAATTCCAACAACGGCGCCATCTTATATCATCTGGATGATCTCTTGATCTTCTCCCCTGGGCCGCAGATCTACATTTCAACCTTTCTCGCGAAACATGTCTTCCAACCCTCACCTGCTCGCCGCTAGTCCCAAAGCCCGATCCCTGGAACACATCGAGAAGGCAAAAAATGAAAAAGAAAATTCAAAGAAAAAATAAAAAATAAAATAAAATAAGGCGTCACCCGACCTCTAACTCAAATTCTTACAAACCTCACATCCATAGTTATTCCACATCAATCTCCACATCCACCCACGGCTGCTGTATGGCTGTGCATGGTCCGTTAAAGATTTCCCGTCCCTCCATTTCAAGCAACCACGTCACCCACCGCGGAGAGAAAGGCAAAAGTCAGATCCATTAGATCGGATCAGGAACGCGGGTTGCAAGTAATATTCCATCCATTCACCATTTCTATATCCCGTTTCCGTGGATAATTTCTATGTATGTATGTATGTGCTGGTGTTGAGGCGTCGATGCATTATTCAACGCATATCCGCATTTTTTTTTTGTCATATCCACATTTTGCAACACGTGGCTCCAGCCATCTAGCCGCCCTTTTTAATCTTCCATCCCTCCTATCAACAGTCTTCCTCTCTTCTTTGGCGGTTTTTTTTTTTTTTTTCGCGCCGTCTTTTTGGCTATTGCTATTCGTCCATTCAAAATTCGAATTGGGCTTTTTAATTTTGTTTTGCTCTGTGTTTTGTCCTTTTTCTGATTGTTGCCCGTTTCAAGCTTCTCTCCGCGTTTCATGTGACTTTTTCCTCTTTTCCCCCCATCTCGTTTCATGCAGGTGATCCAACCCTTCAATCAAAGCACGTCATCATCGTGGGCATGGTGGGCATGGCCCGTCCGTAGCTAACTCTGGCATAGTAAAGCAAAACTTTTTGGATTACGAATGAACCCGGCCCTTCATCTGGTCTCTGAAGTTACTTGTACGAATAATGGGAGGAATACTCATGTTGTAGGAATATACATTCAACTCCATGCTTTTCTTTTGCAGTGTTTCAAATAATAGCATTCCCCGCCCCCGGTTGATTTCTATTTAACTGCATGGACATTGATTGCATCCAGCACTTCCCTGCTTCTCTCTTTTTACATCATGTTTTAACATTCCTTGCCTATTTGTCGAAACATAAAACTATACATTCTCTCCTCTCCTCCTCTCTTCTACTTCGGCTCCGCTCCATTGGGTGGAGGGGCGGAGGGGGGGCGGCAGGGGAGGGAAGAGAACACCATCCACATATATACAAATCCCGAAACCCCGTTTTAAAGAATCCCTCAACGTGAAACGTAAATCAAGAAACAGGGCTTGTTTCCAACCTGCTCAGATCTCAAATGAAACCAGATATCTTACATGAAACATTGTGATATGCTTGTCATGTGCACCAGTCCTAAGGAAAACGTACATATCATGCTGCAAAATGTCACCAGTATCAACTCGTAAAAATGAAATGCCACAATCATACCCCGTTGCAACAATAAAAAAGAAACCATATACATTACAAAATGAATAAAAGTAGAACAGAAAAAAAAAAAAATACATTTTAAACTCTCTAAACCCCCATCACACATCAACAACCCGACACGTCCCCGCCTCACAAATAAGCAAATAATTCTTTCCAGGCCGTATGTCTCTCAGCAACGCATTCCGCCTCCGCAGCCACTGCGACTTTTCCACGCTAGCATCAACATCACCGCCACCACCAACACGCACATCGATGACTGAAACAGCAACTGCGGCCGTCGATGCAGCCGTCCCTGCCTCCACACGCAACTTCTGAATGACCAATTCTCGTGATGAGAGGATTGTTGATAATGGTAATGATGATGATGGAATTGGCGTTGGTGCAACAGCAACTCCATCATCAACCCCTTCCATCTTCGTGCCCTCTGCGACAGCTTCGCCTTCACCTCGACTCATGACTGAAGAGAGAGAAGCATCACCATCATCCTGACCGATAACTCCCACGATCCCGCGGACACCCATCTCCAGTCCAACGATAGCATCTAGCATGCCCACGAAGAGGAATGGGTGCTGCATGATCTCCACCGCGAAGGCGTTGACGGTTTCGCGGGCGAGGCGTTTGTAGCTTTTGGTGGTGGCTGTGGCGGCGTTGTTTTCCTTTACGTCTCCGGCATCGAGGAGGGCAGAGAGACGGAGGAGATTGCGGGCTATCACCCCGTTGGGGGATGGGGTTGCGGCGTCTGTGCCGGGTTTGAGGCGGAGGAGGGGGGGTGGGAGTGTTGGAGTGTTAGGGTTTGTTTGTGATGAGAAGTTGGAGGATGAGGGTGAGTAGAAGAGGGTTGAGGGGGTGGTGTAATAGCCTAATGAGGGTGGTAGGGTGGCGGTTTGAGTGGTTGTTTGGTCGGGATTTGTGCTCATGCTCGTGTTGGTGCTGGTGCTGGTGCTGGTGCTGGTGCTTGGAGCCACGGCGAGGAAGTGCTTGTTTAGGTATTCTAGTTTAAAAAGGGCGTTAGATGATCAATTCGACAAGAGGGTGGAGAATAAGAGTGTCGTATGTAACTTACGTTGTAATTGCTCTGCAAACTGTAGATGGCTATCATCAAATGTCGCTTCGTAGAGATTGATGAGTCCAGAAATAAGATATGCATAATCGTCAGCGAAACCCGGTGTATCCCCCCGCACACCACCACGGTATATACGCCAAAGTTGACCAGTCTGCTCGTCAAACAGGTTGTGTTTGATAAACCTAACTGCTTCCTCCGCGGCCCGTCTGAATTGGTACGCCTTATCCCTATCAAGATTTTCCAGAACAACACTACATTTGGCCAGCGCGCCAATAGCAAGTCCATTCCACGCGACGATAATCTTATCATCCAAGTCCGGACGGACCCGTTTGCTTTCTCGGTATTCACGCAGCTTCTCGCGGGATCTCTTGATGATCCGAACAACCTCATCCTCGCCCAATCCGAATTCCTTCGCAAGTTTGCTGGGAGTAACCTGGATACTAAGCACGTTTTGATTTATGAATTCATCATGCGGATCATTTATTCGCGCCACGTTGCCATCTGCCAGCACACCCCAATGGCGAGCGCAGACGTCCGCATCCCGTTGACCGAGAATCTGCTTCAGCTCTTTAAGTGTCCATACGTAAAAGGCCCCCTCCCTTTTCTCCGTGTCGTTGGGGCTGGGCCGACTGTCAGCGTCTTCCGATGAGTGAAAGCCGCCTGTTGGTGACAGCATCGGAGGACTGGTAATATATGTTGCGATGTCATACATGGCGCCCAACAGCTCCGGGTCGTATGCAGAGTCGAATGCATCCACATATACATCCAGCAGCTGGGCTTGGTCGTAAAGCATTTTCTCAAAATGAGGCAAACTCCAGTCTGCTGTGACGCTATACCGCGCAAACCCATGACCGATCTGGTCGTGAATGCCGCCCCGCGACATGGCGATAAGCGTTTTGACAGCTATTTCTATTGCACGACTACATTCCTCATATCCTACTATGTCAGCTACGGCACTAGGGTACCGGCTAAGGTGGACCAGGAAGCTCAAATTAACGGGAGTCGGAAATTTTGGCGCCTCTGAAAAACCCCCATTCACCGCGTCATAACGTGAAGCAAAATGCTGATATGCCTCTTCCAACAGTTCGATTTCTAAATCCTCCTCTGTTTCGACATCTGATTGTTTCGAATGGGTGCCTTCTTCGGCAAATTCCCGAAGCTGCTTCGTAATATCTTTTGCACTCTCGCGACATCTCAACTGCTGCGTGTGCCATACATCTCTTAACTTTTCCAAAATGTCGACAAAGGTAATTTGACCCTCTCCTCCAAGTGTTGGGAGTGCATTAGAATGTGGGCCAGGCCAGTACGAGCCCCCAAACACAGGTTCCAGATCAGGAGTGAGGAAGACGTTCAAAGGCCACCCACCAGAGCCTGTTGTTGCTTGTACATAATTCATATACACCTCATCAATATCTGGCCTCTCTTCTCGGTCTAGTTTTATAGGGATAAACGACTTGTTCAATATCGCTGCAATCTCGGGGGACATGAAAGACTCCTTTTCCATAACATGACACCCTATAAATACAGTTTAGTCGTGTCTCCGTAGCTAGCTGGGCATGAAAAAAAATATAAAAATAAAAAATAATAATAATAAAAAATAATGGTTACACACAGTGACATGCAGAATATCCAATACTTAAAAAAATGAGCCGGTTGAGCTTCTTGGCTAGGGCAATTGCTTCCGAATCCCACAACTGCCAGGCAACGGGGTTATTCATGTGGACAAGTACCTAGAATGGGGGCATTTTATCAGTACTCGATCAGAGCGCTTAGGATCTTATTTTCCAGAGGTGAATGATATATACATATGGTGATTTGCTCTGATAAAGGCGATTGACGAGCTCTGGGCCAGCCGATGCAGCTCCCTTCTCCGTCTGTGATGAATGCCTCTCCGATAATGAAGCCATGTCGACCGAGCCAAGTGCCCCGCAGTCGCATTCAAAGGAGAGTGTTCCAATCTCACAAAGTCAAATGTTAACGGATCGCAGGTATACTGTCGGTCATGGACAAAACTTCCGTCCCGAGTTTTAGGTACTTTTGATCTAGGACTCTCGTTAGTCGTTTAATTGCTGAAGCCATGGGGAACCTGGCGAAACAAGGCGCGGAAAGAGAGGGGATCAAACAAAGGTACTATAACTATCTTTACTTTACTGTTCATAACAGTGCCACCAAAGAGGGTGAATTGGGCTGGGGGGTGTTGTAGGTACGCAATACTCCAATCCTAGGTACATTAGATGAGGGAAGAATAAACATGGAGAGTGACGGGTGCTGACATCATGTGTCACGTGCTATTTAGGGCAACCCGAGCTGCCCCTGTGGGAACCAAGCTGGAACTCTATCCCAAGGATGATTGAAAGTTAGTAACGATTTGATTTTACTTAGATAATTTACAAAACTTAAATGGAATTAGGTTCTTTTAGCGCCTTGCAGACCCTATTGTTACAACTGGGTTTCTCTATTGAATCATCAATGGCAATTGAGGGACTAAGAAGAGGAAAAGGAAAAATAATAAAAACATACGAAAGCCCAGATTCGCTGGTGGTCACCCACCCAACTACTAACAGGCCGGTGAGTGGCTTGAGTACGGCTGAGCGGACGGGAAGCCCTATATTCCACTACGTTCGTATGTGATAGGAAGTAATAGTATAGGAGACAAAGGATTACCTTGACTGCAAGAGAGACAATATATCGACTTCAAGCCCATATATGTCCAAGTGTATATCATCAAATTCATAGCGATCGAGGGGGAAAATTATTCAGAAAATTAGAAACTGAAACGAATCAAATCTACTCTCAGTATTCGTATGTAAATATCCTGCTGTGATCGGGAATATTCTTCCCTCAACAAACACAAAAGGTATCTTCAACTCCTAATTATCGCCCATCAATTCAGCAAGTTCCCTCTCCTCCTCTTCCGTCAGCAAAGACTCGGAGGGATTTTCCACCTCGTTGTCTTCAGTTGAACTTTCTGCCTTTGCTTTGGCCTCCTGGAGCTGGGCTGGGTCCAATGACCACTGCCGTATCGTGGCATCAATACTGATGCTAACAATAGTTGAGTTAACTAACAAAAGGCCAGTAACTTCTTCGAAATGGCCCGAGTATGTATGGTGCAATTTTCCAGTCTTGAGCAGTCAGTCAGTTAAAAACAACTTCGCCATTCTGAAGGCCCAGAAAAAGAAAACGAGAGCAAGTCTACTAACCGCACAATTCCATACTCGCACTTCTTCATCCCTGCATGCGGTGACCACCCAACCCCCCCGTTCATGCACGACAACATCCTTCACAAAATCCGGATGTTCTAACACTATGTTCGGCTTCCACTTAGTTTCTCTGGTTAGACACTTGGCAGTTTTATCCGCGGACGCTGTCCACAGGTCGCCATCCGTATCGAAGAAAATTTTAAAAACGCCGGTTTTATGTTCCACTATTGGTTCTGAAAGCTTTTGCTCCTTCATCGGAGAGGATGCTTTGAAATAGCAGATGGCTGGATCACTTCCTGCGCTGAAGACAGTAACCTCTGACGGATCCTCTTCGGATACCAGGGGGTCAATGGCAAAGTCCTGTATTCCAAGAGCGTAGTATATGAAGCTATACAACCGCTTGCCGGTACGTATGCTCCAGATAATTATTTGAGTATCTGCCCCGCCGGATATCAGCAAATCATCACCGGGAACTCTAAGGGAAATTAGAGCCTTTACGAAGTCGGTGTGCCCCTCATATCTTTGTTTCGGTTCCCGCGTAGCTACGTCCCAGCTCCAGATAGTCTTGTCCCAGCAGCCAGCGTATATAGTTGTGCTATCAGGGGAAAGGCAGATGCTTGTTAGGGGTGCGGTTGGTCCTTTGTAAAGGGCGGTAGTTTTGCCTGACTTAAAAATCAAATAGATAACCATTAGGCTTTGAAATGTGATGGCGATTATAAAAAGGTATCCGTCTGCCATACCATACCATGTGTAAATTTTAGCTGGGGTTGTGTGCTAACCTACTTCAAGTTCCACTCTCCTTAGAAGGCCTGCACTCTCGGCGACATAGACAGAGCAACTGCTGGAGGGATCAGCAGCGATTGCTAGAAGTTTGCTATTGAGCTTGATCGGGTTTCCATTTAAGTTCTCTGACTTCTTGGCTTTGCGATGTGAGTCCTCCACGGCAGCGCTAGGGCAATCAGTATGTCGGCATGGTCACAACGGCATATATCTATTGTCTATGGCTGTAGAGGGTACTAACGTTGTACGAAAGAAATCATCTGGATGTGATGACACGGCCATGATTGTGTATATCCAGGGCATTAAAATCTTAAACTCAGCTTCGAAATGAACTGTATATCTATCTGCATATGTGAGGTGAAGCTCCTTGGCTGTCCCTCCTCCTTGTGAGAGCTTTGTTTGAACGCAGCTTGCCTAGAGCATCCAAGTTATTACTAATAATGCTCTGGCAGAGATATGATTCCAATTACAATCAGCGCTAGTCCATATCCGGCTAGAGCGGACTGCGCAACAGGGCTCTATCGCTTTCCCGTAGCGAGGCTCCTTTTCCACACCAAACAAGCTTGTGCTGGATTTTTCTCTTCATCCTCTTTTTCCTTCATCCTTCATCCTTAACACTCTCCTTTCTCAATCTCATCACGCTACTCTAACTGCACAACACCGTCTTCATCCTCCCTCTCTTGCTTCTTTTCCCTTCAAACACTGCATCTCCTCTTCTCTTCTTCCCGGCTCTGTTCCCTTCTGTTGGTCTGGTTGTTGTCGTTCTTGTTAATTCTCCCTTCTTCCAAATACAGTACCTTCCCCTGCTGTCGCGCGAATCCGCGCAGCAATCTTCTTCATTATGGATATGAACCACTTCATCGGGTTTGTAGCTCTCCATATCTCCTCTCTACCCATCCTTGTTGCTAGAATTTTGCAATCTTAAGACTAACTGAAGCCAACAGGCAGCGATTTAACTTGATATCGAAGAGTGATATACGGTTCGAGCGGCTCCTTGATCCCGTTGCAAATCCTTAGGCTCTGGAGCTGACTGGTGTCACAGCTACGTTGGTACTCTCCATGAAATAAACCCAGAGGACTCCACTATTGCCCTGGAAAATGTCATTTCACACGGCACGGAAGGCAGACGTGGCAATCCTGCTGAGGAAATCGCACCGTCTGCTAGTGTCTACGAATACATAGTCTTCCGCGGAAGCGATGTAAAGGATATCAGCGTTGCAGAAGAGCAAAAAGAAAACCAGCAATCCGAACCTCCTCAGGTGCCTAATGATCCTGCTATCCTTGGTGTAAGTCAAATGTTTGCCCGGCCAATCCCAACCGTGAATGTCCATCGCACCCTCTTCACTTGTCTAGTTCCACCCCTCCAATTGATCTTCTGATGAAATATTTTCGGATGTAAATCACAGACCTGTTCTGAAAGCGCAAAACCCAATGTGGATTCTTTCCGTTGCCTTCCTTCTGATCAAGATCTTATCTTTTATACTCTTTATGAACTCTTTTATGAATTTCTTATGCCTTCTGGTTTTATACAATTGGGCGTGGCTAATCAGCACCTTTGACAGAGTGGAATGCGGCCTGGACCTCCTCAAGGGCCTCCCCGTGGCCAGGCGAACCAGACTCAGTTTCAACCTCCTGGTCGTCAACCACCTCCTGGCTATCAGCAACCACCCTTTCCCGGTTACTATACTCCATACGGTCAGCGATTTGGCCCTCCTGGCTTTCCTCCTGGACCAGGCTTTCCAAACGCTCCTTATGGCGCTCCTCAAGGATGGTATCCTGGTCCAGGTCAAGGATTCCAGCAACCACCTGGCCATTTCCCACCACCACAGGTGCCTATAGGCACCCCTCAACAACAGCAGCAGGGACAGCAGGCGCAGCAGCAACGCCCTGGGGCTCCTCAGCCTCCCTCTTCTGCAAATGTGCCTAAACCTACCTCTGAACTACCAGTTGGCGACAAGATATCTAAGCCCACCGCACCCTCTACCTCTGCATCCGTTCCCCCATCAGAACAACTAAAAACCTCCGTTTCCGAACAAGCCACTCCAACTACTCTCCCACCGACATCACAGAAACAAGTCACAGCCCCTACAGCAGCACCTACTACGGCACCACCGTTGCCTTCTACGGCATCTGGTACTGCGTCCAAAGCGCCACCTCCTGGACCAAACGCCTCTGGGCCGATGAATGGAAGAGTTGTGCCTGCTATCCCTATACATAAACCACATGTTCCTTCTACAACCATAACCACAACCACAACCACAACCAATACATCTGGCACTGTCACCACGCAGACCCCAGTGCAAAATGCTAGACTACATCGGCGGCGATGCAAGATGCAACCCGGGCTGCTACTGCAGCTGTTGCTGCTGCAATGGCTAAGCTCCCCCAACCCCCAAGCCAAGTTTCACAGCCAACAGATAAAGCGGTTGAGGCCGTAACCAAGAAAGTCAGCGAGATGAAACCGCTTGACGGTGAAAAAGCTCCTCGCGGAACACAACAAAACACCCGTGGCGGTAGGGGTGGTCATCGTGGCAGCCATTACCACCCTCAGCCCAAAAAAGTCGAAGTACCCACCACCGACTATGATTTTGAATCTGCAAATGCCAAATTCAATAAGCAAGACCTTGTGAAGGAAGCGATTGCCTCCGGCGCACCGTTGGGAGAGTCTGAACATAAGGAAGTCAACGGCACAAGTCCCACCGAAAGCGCTGACAAGGCAAATGGAACCGGCGCCAATATTGCATATAACAAAGCCTCTTCGTTTTTCGATAACATTTCGAGCGAAAGCCGGGACCGCGAGGAAGGAATTCGGGGCAAAACCAGTGGTCGGGAATGGCGCGGAGAGGAAGAGAAGAAGAATATTGAGACATTTGGTCAAGGGAGTATTGATGGCGGTTACCGTAGCGGATACAGAGGACGTGGAAGAGGACGTGGGTCTGGCGCACCGCGAGGTGCCCGAGGATCGTACACTCGAAGTTATTCCGGTGGGCGCGGACGAGGTGGTTTCCGTGGCGGACGAGGGGCCCCGCAGGCTGCTGGAGTTTCAACTTCGTCTTGAGCTTACTTACCCATCCCGCTCACCCACTTTTTCCTCGTTCGCGATACTTTCACCCAATTTGATGTGCGATGAACGAAAACTCGATGGTTAGCTACCCTACTTACTATGAAGAGCTTTCTCATCCAAAATATTTTTGTTTTTATGTTTTCTTTTTAATCTCAATGGTCCTTTGTTTTATGCCAGTGATGTCGTAACGACCGCTGAAACTGTACTATTTTGGCGATGGAATTTGAGTTTCTGTCTTCGTGCATGCGTGTCTTGTTCTTTTGCTCACGGGCTAATATCTGGCGTTGGACCACTCCATCCGTTAATCCTCTTCCTCGTCTGTTTCTCTCTTTTCCTTTCTTTATTTCTCAATCAGGGCAAATGCACGTATTTGTGGGGCGCTTTACAACTACTGCTTAATGGCGTGGCGTAGCGTGTGCGGGTGGTTTGCAAAAATATTTGACGAAGAATAATTTGTATTTATTTTCCTTTGCGCGTTCGTTGTTTGGGGGGGCGGGAGGTGGGGGGGTTAGGATGGGACCACATTCGGTACTACGGGGACGGAATTTGGTGCTGCTGCTATTTCTCTCTTCTGCTGTACTTTTGTCTTTTTTTTTCCTTTATGCCACATGAAACCTTTTCGATATTTTCCCCATGCTTTTGTTTCTTTTGCTATTCCTCTTTTCCCATACCATTACCCCTGAGGGCATATTGCCCCGTTTGCCGCACGTTAATCGTGTTGATTCCCCTGGCACCCGGTTTTCTGTTCTCAATGGTAACTCATGCGCTTTCTCTTCTCCCATTTAGCTTTTGTTCTTCATACTCTTACCTATCTTGCGAGCTGATATGGGGATATGTTTCTCTGGATCTGGGAAGCCGTTACACGGAAATCTGTGCCTTGTTCCGTGTTTTCCCTGATTCTCTGTTCGCCAATGCCAGAATTGAATGGCGCTTGGGGGTGAGGGATCACTTCATATGAAAATTTTGGCACATGTTTTCTGTCTATGTGTGTCCTGTTTTTGTGCTTTTTTAGGCTTGTCCATGAGGGGTTGGAGAGGGGGAATATGGGTTAATCTGGCGAACTTAAAAAAAAGATATAACGTAGCATACACACAGCCTATATTTTAACACAAAAAAGAACCAAAATCGGGAGTCTGCGAAATCATGACGATAGATGATAAAATGACAATTGAAAAGACTTGGAAAAATTCGCCTCGTATGAGGCTTTCGACTTCTCAACAAGCATGCTTTTCTTTTGCCCTTAGTTTTAATGCTCATGCCTTTTTTTTTGCAGGGCCATAATCCAAAGCTAAGTTTGCCAAGTGTACAGTGCCTGGTGCCTGCGATGGAGCCACTTTCACGTGCAAGGAGTGTTTTGTTTGGATCTTGCTCTCATCGCCTTTAAAAGAGTCTCAGCGGACGGTTCCATTGTATGTGCCGTACATACATGATATGTAGCACTCAACTGCAGCTTTATAACTGGAACTATAGATATCCTTTGAACTCCTCAGATCATAGACTAGTAAAATATCAAAGCATTTCTCAATTCTTGAATCTGTGTTGGTTATGTATGTGGATCATGTGAAGAGAGGACGGGCATATGCATGTTGACTAAGCTGCGCCTGCAGGGTAATTCTGACAAGCCGCGGTTCAACGGGGCAAAAAATGCGCTTCTAAACAACCCGCTGTTGCGCATCTGCAACAACCTGCCAGTGTCGGATGCCAGATGCCAGATGCCAGATGCCAGATTTTTTATCCTTTTGTCAACTTCCCGGCAGCCCTGTTTTAGTCAGCTAAGTAACTCAGATATCAAAACAAAGAATAGCTTATTGTCCAAGGTTTAATTAAATGTGGGCAATATATCAAATCTCTCCTCCCATAACCCTCCCTCCCTCCCACCCAACCAACACCCCGGTCTATATAGATATTTATACGATCTTTATGCCACATTGATCATCTGTTTACTCTTTTCTGTCGCGTCTCTTTAACCAATTACATTTCTAAACTCTCCCTCCACGTTCTCCCGGATAGAGGCCGGGTGGTTCCCCCATGTCGGACTCAGTCGGCAAGTGTTCCCTGTTTCCCACCTGTTTGAAGAGGAAATATCCAACAATGTCACAAGAGAATGTCACTTTTTTTGTTTTATTTATTTATTCAAGAGGACTTCCACTGCTCCCTTTCTCTACTTACAGAAGAAAATCATTTCATTGGTTAATTATTTCTCCTCCTGGCTTTTCTTACTTCTCTAGACCGTGTGTTCGTCCATGCGCTCAATACCGTGAAGCGCATACCCCGAACGGGGTCGGCCAGACCACCCCTACCTGAACGTCTAAGGCTTTATGGCTTATACAAGCAGAGCATGGGTACGAAATCTTTTATATTTTGTTCCATTCCTCTCTCCCTCCCGTCCATTCCACTTTTCTCGTCCATTTACATGGAGTTCGTGTGAACGTGGGAAGCTGATGCGGAATATTCAATCGTGATTTAGAGGGTGATGTAGAAGGGGTCATGGATCGGCCTGACGATGATGGAGCAAATCTCCAGGCTGAGAGGGAGAAATGGTACGTGCATCTTCCCGTTTTCAATTATTTATAAGAGTAAATGCGTGTACACCTACCACCAAAGAACTACAGCTAACAAATATACCGTTGAACCGACTAGGGACGCCTGGTACGCGCAGCGCCATCTATCCCGCACTGAGGCGAAACGGCAATACATCACCACCTTACTAGACACGATGAATAAATACGCCTCCTCGTCACCGGAAGCGCGCGAGCTCATATCTGAACTGGAGTTTGTCTGGGATCAGATAAAATCAAACTCCCTCTCCTCCTCCCCTACCAGCCCCGTGCACAGCTCCAACCTGCCACTGCACCAATCATCACACATACCCCACTCCAGGTCAAACTATGGCTCTCAATATGGGAGCATTGGAGGGCAGATATCTCGGGTTGAAGCGGAAGAATTGGGTAGCCCGGTACACGGGCGGGATCCAAGGTTGAGAGTACTTACTCCTGTTAGTCAGCCAGATGTTTATATGCCCAGAACTAGGCAAAATTACAAAACAGTGACTGGAGAGGAGGGACAGGAGGTTGAGGAGGAAGAGGAGGAAGAGGAGGATGACGACGACGACGAGGACGACGACGAAGAGGATTTCCAGGAGGCGCGAAATAGTCCTTACGAAGACGAT